TCCGAGGAGTGGCTGGTGGGTTTGAACCACCAGCCTTCTGGTTAGCAGTCAAGTGCCTTAGGCACTATGCTACCAGAGCTCCTACCTTATGATGCTGGGTGTTTTCTCATTTCCATACATATTCTTCCTTTGTTCCAGGATACAGTTAACTTACCTGGAAACCATTTGGCTCTTTGACATTTTGCTTTCAGGATTTGTTGGGTGGGACCAGAGTGGTGGTTATTCTGGGGTTAATTGTTCCCCTACTTCTGGGGCAAGACTCTTCCAAGGAATCTACCCGTTGTTCTGCAGGTCATGAGGCTTTCCAGTCTGGCTGGAGAGAATGTGCACTATTGCCAGCCTGAATGAACATCTGGTCAGTTCCCTCAAATCGTTGTTGGGTTCTCAGCTAGTTCCCTCACACACATGTGCTGATCAGCGGTAGTCTGCTGAATGGTTGAGAGGCCCTCCCTGCAGGCCCCAGGCTCGCCTTCTGTGCAGAGCTCTGCCCTGCCAGCGCTTGCTGTCTTAGTCCCCGTGGATGTTCAGCTTTGTCTCTTCCACCCGAGGAGTCCCTGCGCCTCAGTGCCCCCTCCCTGCTTGGCGGCCTGGAAATTCTGAAGGCAGTCAGTTGGGGCAGGTCAGGCTCACCTCATTTACTTCCTGTCTCCCCGAGATCAGCACCCTACATTGTCTGGTGCCTACTGCCTTGAAGATAGTTGTTTTATTTATTTTGTCCATTTGTTGTTTCAGGCAAGAGAGTAAACATGGTCCATCTTGGACAGAAACAAAAGTGCTAGTAACAGTTTTCGGTGTAAAATTTTTCACCCCTGTGTGATCCATTTTTAAGGCTCTCATTTACCAAGTTTGCTGGGATGTGTGTTCAAGACACATTCTAGGTACTTTCAGGCCAGCAGTGTTCTCCTCTAATCACTGAATGTCTAGGCCATTTGTCCTTAACACAGCAGTGCTTTTGCTCAGGGGACCCTGACCTGAGGACGGATGGACTGAACCTCTTCAGTCTAACTTACCTTTGTGTCTTTGTTCTCTCTCCCCTCCCTTGCGTACCCTCCTTGTGTGTCTCCATCAGTCGAGGTCGGCCTTCTCGGTCGAGTGTCGAGTGGGTGTCTTGCACATTGGTCTTGGTTATCTTGAGTATATATACGTGTATACATGTGTGTACTTGGAAGTACAGTGTTTCTCTGTGTTTTCACCCTTAGATTGGCATCAGTACGATGATATCATTTGCATGAAGCCTCCTGGAAAGATTCAGAGGTTCTGGGATCATTTAACAGATGGTACCAGGAGAAACCTGGTCAAAGGGAAGCAGATTGCGGCTGAAGTGATGCTGAACAGCATCTTCAGCATCCTTCAGAGCTGGAATGCCATCAACTTGAAGAGCTTCTTCATCCAGTTCCAGCAGTTCTATGTTGTTGTCCGGAAGCCAATGGTCTATGAAGGAGGACCACAGCCATGGAGCTCTTTGCAGTATGGAACTAAAGAGGTATGAGTCCCACTTCTGACACCAGCACCTCTGTTCTACTATGGGACTGTCCGCCTTCTGAGGCCGTCAGCATCTCCTAACGTGCTAGTCACCCGGTGACCTCTGCAACATGGCAAGCTAGGGTGGGATAGGGCAGGTGTACCCTTTGGTCCTTAGTTTCTGGTACCACCCACCTCTTGGGAATGCTCTGTTCTCCTATCTTCCTCCTCTTCCTGGTTGCACCTCTGAGCCCCAACCCAGCACTGGTCCCAAGGTCTCCCCTGACCTTGGGCAGAGTGGAAAGAACAGATACCTGTCACCTCCTTCACCGCAGTCCCCCTCCCACTGCGGTGTGGCCTGGATCAGTTCTGAGACAGACTGGGGAGCCACTCTGAGGAGACACCTGTGCCCTCATAGACATCCAGGGCCCGACCTAGATGCCTCTCCATCTTGGAAAGTTTTCTGGAGTGTACCTTGGTTCTTGCTGTCCCCAGGGGCCCCAGGATGGCTGGGCTTGGGGTGTGGCTGGTCAGGCTCAACCATGCTGCTGCTCGGGACTTACTGGGGAAAAAGGGTGTGGCATGGCTCCTCCGTGGGGCTCTCCCTGCCCGCCGAGGTTTGGTCCCCTGCCCAGCTGATATCACTGAGGACAGTGGTGGGACAGCTCCCCGCATCTCTTGACAGATGAAGCCCATGGTTCTGTGTCTTCCTCTCTTGCGGAATCAGGTCAACAGTGCCCTGTGGCATTATCTCAAAGGGAAAATGGCTCTGTTTCGGCAAAGAGGCAGCGAGAGTCCTCTGCCTGCCGACTGGCCCGTGAGGAGTGCACTGGCCATGGGCCTCATTGTGCTGTTTGTGCTGGAAGAGTTTTCGATGGTCGTGCCAGAGGCTGACCTGTCTGCCCTCTGCTCCCTCCTGTGCTTGAGTGCCAACGCTCCCAACGCCCTGGACCGAGACTTGCAACCCGTCCTTGAAACTCCTCTGAGGTAGCCTTTTTTTTTTTGGTTGAAAGGTTCTTATGGTCATTTGCATTGGGTTTTATCTGATTGAAAAAATAAATGCTTGTCATAAAACAGTTGAAAAGGAGGAAAAAGTAACTCATCCATCTTTTGCCACTCACTGCGCTGTTGTACCCTCCAGCCTCCCCACTGCCGTGTGCTGTATGTCCGACTCAGGTTGTGCACGGCGCCACGGTGGCTGTGTGGCAGACTCAGGTTGTGCACGGTGCCACGGTGGCTGTGTGGCAGACTCACGTTGTACACGGTGCCACGGTGGCTGTATACGGCAGACTCAGGTTGTACTTGGTGCCACGGTGGCTGTGTATGGCAGGCTCCTCACCTTCTGTGCAGGAACCCCGGGTTCGATTCCCGGCCAGAGCACCTCAGGTGCGGCCCCACCCGTCTGTCGGGGGAGGCCTGTGTGTCGCTCGGATGCTGAACAGGCTTCAGCAGAGCTTCCAGATGAAGAGACTGGGAGGAAAGGCCTGGCGGTCTCCTTCCAACAAGTAGCCATTGAAAACCCGATGGATCGCAGTGATTTGGTCCCATAGGCCTGGGGCCACCCGTGAGGCAGGCTGGCTTTGCAGCCACCAGCAGCGTCCAAGTTGCAAAGAGGGGAAATGGTGACAGGTAATTGTGCCGAGTGAACACAGCTATTTCAAAGCATTAACAAGCACTGTTACTTTGTAGCTGTAGAAAGATAACGTGTATTTCCTTTAGGCTTGGTCCCAACCCATTGAACACATTTCATATCCACAGCCAGAGGCACCACAGAACTATGGGTCAGGTACTCGGCCTCCTTGAGCCTTAGTTTCTTCAACTGTCAGCTGAGGAGAGGGTAACTCCTGTGGTGTTTGTTGGGGGTTTCAGTGAACCAGCAGTCAGTGCCTGACACGTTAGGGGCGGGGTCCAAAGAACCTCTGTCTCCCAGATACTCTGAAAAGGCGTGTTCCTTGTTTCTTGCTGAGGGAGTTCCTCCGTGCTAGGTGGTCAGAGCGGCTCCTAAGCTCCAAGTAAGTAGTGCCACTTCCCCTTCTGCACCCTGCGCCCCCTGCCGGGCTCGGCTCACGGTGGCGTGCCTTCTTCCATTTCCAGCTGGAGAAAGTACTTGGTCAACCTGTGCCAGAGGTGCGTGGACAGGAGGATGGACTGCTGGGTGCTCATACTCCCGGTGCTGCATTACTGCGTGGGGCCGGCCCCCCACAGGAGGGACATCCCCACCGAGGACACGTGGGCAGCCCTCGAAGGCCTGTCGTTCTCACAGTTTCGGGAAGAAAGATCAGTTCTGTGAGTAAGCACTTCTGTATACCAGTCTTGGAATCATGAGGTGTAAAGAGTGCTCCCAAGGTCCCAGGTGGGCCTCGTGCCCGGATGTACCTTCCTGTGTTTAATGGTCGGCGTAAGGATGCTGCTTTGAAGTGTGGAAATGTGTCAGAAATAAAAAAGGCAAAAATGGCCGTCTGGAGGTCGTCGTTCTTACTAACGTTTTGGCGGATTTGTTTCCAGGCTTTGGTTCAAATGTGGAGAAACGTCTGCTTTAAGTACTTAAAAAAAAAGCCCAGTGCTTTCCTGTTTATTCTGTTTTATGACCTGCTTTCTTCACTTAACTGTAGTGTGTGCATACAGTTCTCATGTCAAGAAACTCACACCTACGTCGTCATTGTTGCGGCCGCTTGGTCTCCCATGTAGAGCCTCCGCTGAATTTATTTAGCCGGTTGTGTGTTTCTGGGCATTTGGATCGTCTGTGCGTTTCTGGTTTCGTAGGTGGGCTGATGCGCACTCCAGTCCATTTACCTCTAGTTACTCCTTGAGACTCGAGACTGCTAGAGCGGAACCACTGGGTCAGAGGCATTGCGTGTTGTTAGTCGTCTGTACACTCACGTGATGACAGCTGACGGCATCATGTGCATGTGGCCCTGCCCTCTGATCCAAACAGAAGGCCATCTACTCCACCCCACAAAGTCGTACCCCAAAAGCCTAGGGCAACATAGATACACAGGCTTTGGGGACAGAGGGTCCGACACTGACTGTTTTATGAGCCGCAGTGCGTGTTTAAAATCCCATGAGAGAATGGCAGGTTTGTGAGCTGTTCTCGTTCTGAGATCCTGTCCAACATTTGCAAACTCTTTGCAAGTGCTCACGGAGGTTTTGTGTCAGAGCGTTGTGGGGTCTTTAAGCATTTGAGAAATCATTGTTGGCATCTAGGATCTTTCACAAACTCAGAATAAGATGTATTTTAGTCCAGAACCTCACTGCCTGCCTTTCTTCTCTAGGAAGGTCCCCAGTCTATGTCATTACATAGATTACAGGCCCTTCAGTGGTGGGGAGACACATAGGAGAAACATGGCTGTTGACAGTGGACAATGACAGACACTGGCATTGGTCCTGGAGGCTGTCTTTCAGGGACACGTGGTCTTTCTGGCTCACTGGGCCTTATGGATATGTTTTTGTGGCCTCTGTCACTTCCATGGCGCCCTGCCATGTCGTCATCTTTCTGAGTGTCTTGCCGCGACCTGGCTGGCGTGGTTTAAAGATGTGCTGCCCTCCCTTGGGCTGTTCGGCCCAGGGCACACAACACTGACTCATCAGGCTGTTTCGTTCTTGGTGAACTCTTAGTGTGTTCTGGTTTACTGTTCTTTGGGTGTCCTGCTTATTTTTGTTTCCCACTTAGCACTGAAGTGACATTGGCGTTTTCTAGACCGGCCGCCATCTTACCCCCTGAGCTGAGTCCTGCTTGCTGGCCTCACGGCTGCCCTCTTTTGCGCCCCTGTCCCCTCCTGTCCAGGAATCAGTTGCTGCAGCTCATGGGGCAGAACACCCACCTGCTGAATGTGGATGCCTGTCTCTTCCGGTCCTGGTTCAGCCTGCTGCCGCTGGGTGACCTAGTCGACTACATGCAGGCCTTGGTCGAGTACTTGATCGCCTCCCCTGCTCACTTCCTGGACTGCTTCCTGGGGGTCTACTACCGGCTTCGAGGACTCCGAGAGATCTCGTACATGAATCTGGAGGTTTGTCATCTACTGTGGCCTGTTGCATCCTTGCTCAGTCACAGCAGCCCGAAAGCCCGAAATGTTGAGAGCTTGTGATTCTTTTCCTGAAAAGCTGACGGGACAAAGAGAGAGGCAGCAGCAGTCACTGTGGGTAGGGCTGAGGGTTGGTTTGGGTTGATTTTGCTTCAGTAACTAGATCCAACAGAACGGTAACCGGTGGCCCTCACGTTGGCCCTGACTCCTGGCGACCACACGTGTCAGAGCAGAGCTGTGCTCCAGGAGGTTCGTGGTGGCTGATGTTCTGAAAGTAGATGTCAGGCCTGTCCTTTGAGGTGCCTCTGGGTAGTTTCTCTTCAGCCTTTTGCATAGCAGCCAGGCACTTGACCGTTTGCATCACTTGGGGGCTTTGATAAGCAATCATCTGTTGTTACGACCTGCAGTGGGATAGGACATTAACTGGGGGTGCTCACGTTCCATATTTTCACATAAAATGCACCCCCGGAAATAACACAAACACACATAACGTGCAGAGCTCACATAGGACACTCAAGGGGGTGGTGTGGTTTGCAAAACCTGTATAACACACACGTTATTTGCCTAAAACTATGGTACTTTGTAGTTGTTGTTTTTGTTTTCATCTGTTTTGAATGGAGAAAAGGTTATAATATTATGCCTTCAAGGAGCTCTGGTAGTACAGTGCCTAAGGCATTTGACTGCCAGCCAGAAGGTTGGCGGTTCAAACCCACCAGCCACTCCAAGGAAGGAAGACTGGGCAGTCTACTTTTGTAAAGATTTACTGCTTCAGAAACCCAAAGGGGTTTGCTGTGAGTTGAAATCAACTTGGTGGCAGTGAGTTTGTTTTTTTGTTTGTTTTATTAAGACTTTGATTTTATTTGTGAAAGACATGAGGTTGGGACTTTAGTACTTCAGAATTTATTTATGGAAAGAAACATTTATGTGTGATTTATGCTGAATATTTTTCAGCTTTGTTTTTGCAAAGCCAGTGGTGTCCTGATTAAATCCTGTTCTCTCCTTCATCGCTCTAGAACGTCGAGAAAACTTTAGAGATGCTGCTGTACCTGTTGGATGTGAATCTGAGCAGGTGGGTCCGGAAGCAAAAGGCTGTGTGTCTCTCACCCACGTCCCAGGCGTCTCAAGGGTGATGATAATCCCTTGATTGATGTTGTCCCACGTTTGCTGTCACGATAGGAGGGTCATAAGTCAATATACTGTCTCCTCATCTGTCAGCTGTCTGGTCTGACGTTTCACATTGATGACAATGGTAAAAGAAAATTTACTGTCCGAGTATTTTGCATGGTAACAGTGTACATCAGGCAGTAACGGAGGCCAAGGCATAGGTGGTGAGATGGTCAAAGCTGTCATGATGGTGATGGTCAAGGTCAGGTGTACTTGGCTGGGCCATGATTTCCCGTGGTTGGGCAGTTATGTAATGATGTCATCGTCCATTTTCCCATGACGATTTGGTCCTTGGGATCTAACCGTGTCGATAGCAAGCAAAAGATGTATGTGCCCTGCTTCTCTTTCAAGTCATGAGCGTAACCATCCTGTTTTTAAAAGGAAGAAAACTCATAGATGTCAGCTGCATGGCTTTGGGCCAGTTTCTGTCTGCTCTTTTTTTTTCTGTGCACTTATTTTCCTTTATTTTTAAATGATGACCGGCCATTCACACGTTTGTGTTTGCTTCCCACTTCTTTTAACCTTTAGCCTTTATGTGCATGCCAGCTCAGTTTAAAATGAAAATGAAAGCCAGCTTCACGGAATTATCTGAAATCAGCGCTTCTGCTAACATGCGTGTCAGTGGTTCAAACCCATCAGCCCCTCCACAAGAGAAAGATGTGACAGTCTGTGTCTGACATCCTTGGTAGCCCTACAGGGCCATTCTCCTCTGTCCTGTGTGGTGCCTGTGGGTCGGGCCAAGTCACCGGCTGCGGATCACTCTGGAAGGACGTTGTATAGAGTACAGACGGGCAGGAGCATGCAGGTGGTGATGGTGCTTTCTGAGATTTTCGAAGCACTTCCAGTAGTAGTTCACCCGAACGCTTGGATGGCAGGGATGCAGGCGGTAGTGTGATCTTGTCCGTGATGAGCACCTATGACCGTCCAGGGGTCTCCCCTGACACTGATTACCAGGTGAGCCCAGGGCCTCTTCCTGGTACCACATCCTAAGCCCTGACTCATCACCTCAGTCACTTAGTACTGCCCTGTGTCACTCACTGAGCATGAAACCCTACACGCTGGTCCCAGAACATTCCACACACAGCACATGTGTTCCTAGCATTTCTTTAACTTTTATCTCCCTGTGTCTTTCTGAAAATTTTTTTTTTTTCAAAAGTATATAGTATCTTCATCTGTGGGAATATGTGCATGCCCCTTACTTTTTTTCAAATGAAGAACCACATTTGGAAAGTTTTCAGTTTGCTCTTTGCTTTTTCAAGAGCAGTTCACACTACGGAGGCCAACCAGAAGGACTTTGTTTCCTTTTTAACTCAGTCACAAGTTCAGGTCTGATTGGAATTTTCCAAATGTTACTTTGTATGAGCTCAAGGAAGTGCCTTTTGGTTAAATCAAAATGAATCACCTTGTCATTGATTCAGTTCCAACTTGTAGCCACTCTA